CTTTCCTCTGCTTTGCCAGAGGAATCCTCTTCCCAAAATATGCCCAGGCTGAATCTTGTTACGTACTGAGAGGCAGATTGTGCATATGCATTTTCCCTTTCCTGCTTTATGAGTGCTTTTAAGCTTTTAGTTCCAGGTTATAGCCAGAAAACATTTCCCATTGAAATGATTGTCATTGCTTGGGAAATTCTGGGTTGGCCAAAAAGTTCGTTCAGACTTTTCCACACATCTTACAGAAAAACCCAAAGGAACTTTTTGGCCAACCCAGTATTTTCTGAATATAATTTCCTTACCAAATACCCACATGCTAGATGTATGTCTTCTATTTAGCCACTATCAGGGTTCCTTGTCTATTGTCTTTACTTTGTGTGTGTGTGTGTGTGTGTGTGTGTGTGTGTGTGTGTGGTGTTGACTATTAATGGCTTTTTGATTGGTTAAGGATTTTGCTATAGATGAGGCAGAGGGCCATCCCAGGTCAGGCATTAAAGAGGCATGGATTTTGAGCTATTTCAAAATATTGTCCAATAGCCATAACTTTACCAGTCCTTCTCTTATATGCTGCTATTCAGAAGTGGGACCGTGGAATATTCATTGGTCCCCAGGGTTTTGCTCTCTCATCTAGGTTCAGTTGAAGGTATGTTGACAGGAGCTTGTCCAGTACATCATAAATGAGATCAAGGGTGAACCCTGCAGTCTGGAGCCATTAGCTCTATGGAGGATATTCTCCAGGTTGTCCTCTGCTGCTCACGGAAATGGGAATGAAGTTAAGTGGTCTGAAAAACTTGTTGGTCACATTTCTCAGCTCCTGGGGGTCATTTACCAGTTCACTGTAGAAGAAATAATCAGGTAAGTAGAAGTTTGTTTCTAGAGAAGGTAAACGCCACTTACCATCTCTGCATGATTTCAGTGGGAATCGATTATCACTAATCCCCACCTGGGCTAGAATAAATATAAAATTTGACCTTTTTAAAAAGACAAGAGAAATGAAGTCTCAACACCTCCAAAGGAATGGTAGA